CTGGCCTGGGGAAGTTTGCAGGTGACCCCTGACCACCTTCAGCTTTTGCCCACCTGCTATAGTTCCACTGCTCAACTAGGGAACTCTTACTGCTCCTTCCTTCAGGGGCATCCATTCCCTGAAGTTTTCAGCCAAGCTCTGCTTTTCTTCTGAGCTCTCTCTACTTCTCTAGACACCCTCAGCTCTTCTCCCCCACCTCTCGATTCTACACTCTCCCTTACCTTTGGGCCTGCTCTCATTTATAGCTCCCAGGAGCAGCCCTGCCTTCCTCATTACACCAAACTAGCGCACACCAAGACTGGAACAGAAGACCTGAGCCCAATATCAGTTAAGGGGCCAGCTACCCTGTTACACAGGCACTGTACATAGACCTTGTCCCAAATAGTTTACAATCTAAGCATATGATGAGAGACAATAGATGCTTGCAATAAACAAACAGGGAACTCATACGGTAACAGTAAGATAATAAAGACTAATGTAATAAACAATGGTCAAAGCACATCAGTTTAGGGTGACCAGACAGCAAGTGTGAAAAATCAGGACAGGTTATGGGAGGTAATAGGAGCCTATATAAGAAAAAGACCCAAAAATCGGGACATCTGGTCATCCTACATCAGCTGCCTAGCCAGCCTTTCCCAGCTACACTCCCTTGTCACTGTAGTTTGACTAACTTGACCAAATTATTTCATAACTTTACATACAGTTTATTAAGGAAGATCGCCTCAAGATACAACATTTAGCACTTCATGGTTAAGCAGTGTTCTCATTTGCTCATCAAAACCCTTTTGATGTCAGTAGTTATGCTGAGTGATGTGGATAAGGGTCATACACCTCTCCTTGTTGAAAAATTCATGTACGGTGCTGTTAGCGACAGATTTTTTTTTAATCTAGATAAATAGAATTCTGCAGAGCTACATTAAATTATCAAGAGCAAAAAAATTCCTAGCATCAGTTCTGCTAGGGAAAAAAAGAGCATGTGACGTATATGTTACTGCGGCACTCCAGTATTCTCCTTCTATGGCAAAAGCTTGGACATGCATGTTAGTTACTTTACCGCATCACTTCCATTTTCCAAAACTCAGCTGAACATACTTTGGCATCACCACTTTCATAAGCAAGCACAACCCCGCAGACTTCAAAAGATTACTTGTGAGTTTGAAAGATAAAACCAGCTATCCATGATTTATTGATTTTATGAAACACATGTTCATTATAATGAATTTCATCATACTGAAGAGTCCCAACCATCCAAATGTGGGCAACAAAAATTATGTTTGGGTACTAATGAGTCACTAAACCTAAAGTTAATAAAACAAGACCATACACCAAGCATTCATTAAAAGGGAGCTTTCAATAGTTATTCATTATTATTATTACTTAGATAATGGTATTGGGGCCCAATCAGAATTGGGCTGGGGGAGGGCATACAAAAAGAAGGGATCCGAATAGTGTTTGGCTAATGTTATTTTAGTTCTAGATTGGGGAGGGGGGTCCTGTGGGTATTCTAATAGTCAGGATTATACTGTGTGTGTGTGCAATGAGTTAATGAGTTACAAGGCACTGAAAAGGGAATTTGCAGTTCTGTTGTTTAGGGCCAACAGATCAAAATGATTAACATGGCTGGAAAAGTTCTTCCAGCTTTCTATACAAGCTGAGAAGTCAAGTGTAGGACACTTAAAAGAAACTGAATGACACATGCCCTGAATGCTGTTTCTAATCCCGGGATGTGATCTTTCTGCTCTATCTGACAACTGACCCAGGAGCTTTTAACAGTCAGTCCTTTTGCTTAAAGCTTTCAGTAGAATGTCAATTTCAGAAATATACAGATTGTGCTAGGTGTCACTACATGCCTCAAAAAATCAGCATCTATTTACAGTGAATTTCAATGAAAACGAAAATGAGATAGATCAGCAGCTCCTTCACTCTTATTGCAAAAGCCTGTCCATCTTAAAATGTTAAGTGACTTTACTTTTCAATAGCCAGATTTCATGGCTGTGCATTTCTTTCATCCTGCAGAGCATTACCAGCAGTATGCATCTGAGCCATAATTTATTTTGAAAGAACAGACATGTAAATTGCCATTAGCTCTCAGTGAATTATCCTAAGGCTTCCTATACAATGAAAAGTAAAGTTATCTCTGATTCTAAATGCTTCAGATAAGTCCTATGAGGGTACAATGTACAATGAGGGCTTTCACATATATTTTCTGTGAGGATGAACTTATATAACTCACTGATAGTTCTGCTTTGCTCCTTTGTATCTGAGCGACCAGATCATCATTAGTTTGTGATAATATTCATCATACCACACTCCCCACCAGTATGCACTTTCTGTCTCACCATTTATCTTAGGCCTTGTCTACCTAGGAAGGTTTTTTCGCTATAACTTAAGGTGTGAATTTAAACCAGTATTTCAGTACAACTCCCATGTCAACACTCTTATTCCGGTAGGGGTGCCTCTTTTTCCTTTGTTGTTGTTGGTCTTGTTCATCTTATATAACTTGGGAAGTGATTTAAGCTAAACCGAAAAAGCCACTTTTATACTAGAATTAGAGTGTGCACATGGGGGGTTATATGATTATAACTATACTGGTACAGCTATGTAACTATAACTGGGAAAATTTTCCAGTGTAGACAAGGCCTTAGATTCCAACAATAAATACTCTGAGCTGTTTTTTAAATATATTTTTAAAGAGTGTGGACACAATGGGTACAGTGTTATTTTACCGTGCATGTAACAAATATACTATAGATTAAATTTAAAATTAAAGTGAGCTTTTAAGTGAGAACAAGTGATGTGGCTAGAAGCAACCCAGAGTTTCATCCCAGATAAGTGGCCATCCTTCCTGTACAGCTAGCACTCTGCTAGGGTGGCAGCCCACGGTTTGAGTTGGGAATGACCCTCCAACAGTCAGGGGGGTCCACTACTTAATCTGTCTCTGAGAGATGTAAGGATGAGTTACTTTGGGGAAAGCTGAAGCCTGTTTAAAGTTCTCTCTTCATTCTATCTTTTTATTTTAACATTCATCTCATACTTAGATTGTAAAGCACTTTAAGGCAGGTACCAACTCTTTAGTATGTCTTTGTACAGTGCCTGGCACAATGAGACCGTGATCCATGACTGGAGCCCATATGTGTTACCTCAATACAAATAAATATACATACACATCTGCATTAAGTTAAAGGAGTGCAAAGAAATGGGAGGGATATATGCAAAATTTCAAAGAGTGAATATTTTTATACATTTCCTGTGGAAAAACTACATTAAAAATGCAATTGCCCTTTGAAGAATTATTGTGTCAAATATCAAGAAAAAATACATGTATTAAAGTATAAATCAGAAGTTCTGCTTTATGTGCAAATCCCAATGCAATCTTAACCATGGAGTCACTGTTAGTGCTTCATAGTGTTAGATTATCTGACATAGTGGGCTTTAGATATCTGAATTAATCCAAACATATTTGATAACCAACCATATAGTCCCAAGAGTTGTATTTTTCCTAGGTAGGTAAAGTTACAGAATTTTTTTGCTATTTTTTTTCCTGCTTCTTATTTTAGCTATACCTTAGGGGTTTTATTTATTTAGACTTGTACAATAAAATATACCCATACTAAAGGCTCTAGGTTTCTTGACAATGAATTAGTCTTACAACATAATAAGCATTAATAAACACCCAGAAGCATTAAATAATCATATATGGATAACACATAAATGAAGCCTGCTAGCAGCATTAAGCAATCAGTATAAACATTACACAGACAATTACAAAGTCACTCAGCCAAATAGTAAACTAAATCAGTAGAAAAGCTCCCTTCCACCTCCACCCATCACCTCTGGGAGTATAAAAGCAACCTTCCCCAAAGCTCCCTATCAAATAAGAAAATGGAATAGTAAATGTTTGATCAGTTTTCAATAAGTTTCTTAGGAAACAATAAGGCACAGTAGTTTAATGATATACAACTCAGCATTGTGACTTGCTATAAGGAGTCAGGTCTGTGATTATAGGGACGATCTTTATATAATGTGAGATCAAAGTCCAAGTCTTGTGATTATACAGCTTGTCTCTGTCTTTATATTATTGTAACACTTTATCATCTTTATTATATTGTTGTTGTTGTCGTTGTCGTCAAGAGCTTAGCTGCCTTTCTTTTCGCAATACCTGGACTGGACTATGATGCCCTTTGTTTTGTATGTTTTGAAACCCCTGAGTATCAAGGAGATGGCCTAGTGACTCAAAACTTTTGAAGCTATTTGAGGAAGGTATAAATAAAATGGTTTCGCTTGACTGAAATAGAACAAGTGACTCAGGTAGGAAAAGGGTCTCTGTTTCATGTAAAACCTCTGTCTTTCTCTCTTTATCTCAGGGGCTCTTCAGGGAGAGTCTGGTGATGCTGCATTATTGATGTGATACAGGTCTCCAGTGGAAACAGATGTGATATGTTTGGTTTCTGCTGATATCCTGGGTCGAACACAAAGCAAATTACTGCATGTCAGAAGACTCAAGTTCAATTAAACAGTCCAAAGTGCAGTTTGAAAAGTAGTCCTTGAATACTAAATCTTAAATTTAGGCCCTGTTTCAGAAGGAAAAGTTTGATGTGTACTAGAGAAACTGTGCCCCAAGCCATTTTGACAATACAGCCTTCAGCAGAGATTAAAATGCATATAGGAAGTATGCCCCTTTGGGATTTATTTGTTCTCAAATCAGGCAATGATAGATGGGTCAAAAGCATTTAATAGCAAAAACCTGAAGAAAACCTCTCCCTACAATTCTTCCATTCCGTGTAGAGCCCTATATTTTTAAAATCCCAGTTTCAGATTCAAAACTTTCCCTTTATTGTCCCTCAGAGACTTGCAGTTAGTTGAACGCAGCATATTCATGCCTCTCAATAGATCAAGCAGAGGTGGAGGAGAAAGGACTGTTTGATCAGAGGCCAGAATCCTCTTTAGCTTGAATAGGAGTCCAAGGCTACTTTTACAAACAGGCAAGTGCAGTCTCTCTATTCCAGAAACTCTGCAAGATAAAACAGCAGTGAAATCCCAATTAGACATCAAGACTTCCACATTCACTTGGCTGTTTTGTTTAACCTGCCTTTCTAGCTTGTGGTGGCCATCAAAAAAAGACCAAGTTCTCCCCTGATTTACACCCAATGCAGTCATGGGTCTATTACCTCATGGTAGGTGTAAGAGAAACACTTCAGTAAGACACTGTGGGCTGTGTTCTGTGGCCTTCAGTCACACAGCGTTGTATATCTTCAGTTTAACAAGTATCTTCCCAAAGATGCTCAAAGCTGAATTTTGTTTCCCAGTATCTATAAAGGCCAGATCTCATATCTTGGCCATCAGTTTGTCGGTTTCTTTCTTTTTTGCATTCTCCCTCTTTTCATCTGTTTCTTGGATCACTCCTCAGATTAAAAAAAAAGAAATCCTCTAGCTCTCCCTGCATCTGGTGTTTCCCCTTTTCAAACAGAATCATTTCATCTTGAAAACACCATCTCTCTTCTGTTTTGCCTACACTAGGTGAGGAAGGACAGGAAGGGAGAAATGACAGCAAAGTTACTTGGATATTATTTCTAGAGAACAAAGACAAAAATCCTCCCACTTTCCCCCCTGCTTGCTGCTCAGGGAGGAAGCCCAAAGAATTGAGATGTATCAGGAGTAAGGCGAAAAAATCAGACAGGGTCTCTCTCAGCCGGAGACTGAACAAGAGATAGCTGTTGACAAGAGATTGACAGGTCAGTGAGGAGAAGAGAATACACCTCAGACCAACTGTGCTCAGCCACACTTCAGACCAAAAAGAAAAAAGAAAAAAGAAAAAAAAAGTTCACAAAACGGTGGAAGCACTTTTTAAAAAAATGATGCATTTGGTGCTTCCCTGCTTTCTCTCAGAGAGCCAGTGAAATATTTGATGGGAAGAAAGCGAAGGAACCAAGGTCTGACTGTCTTTAATCTCCCCTGCGACCACGCCGATCAGGCAGGGAGTTCTGCAAAGAGAGCGCAGGAGGCAGAGAGCGAGCCAGCGGGGACCCTCCCCGGGGCTGGCTGCAGACAATGCCATGGCCCCGTCCGCTTGCTTCTGGAGGAAGGGCTCGGGGCTGGCAGGCTCACCTTGTTACGTGTAGGTGGGCATGGTGGAACAGGCGGCAGCCGGGGGAGGCAGGGAACGGGGGGGGGGGGGGGGCTGTTCCTAAAGAGGCGAGTTAGGAGGGTAATGATTGCCATCCTGCAGCAATTTCCCTGTGTCATGGCTCCTGTTTCCTAGCAACAGCACCGAGTCCGGCCCGCACAGCAGCCGCGGCTGCCGGAGCACCATTCAAGAGCAGCAGCAGCAGAAAGCAGCGAGCCCGCCAGGCTGGCAAATCAACTAGCAACAACCACCGGCTCAGGCAGGAGGAGGAGGCTGCATCTGGCAGGGGGAAACAATAAAACAAGCAGGGAAGGATGAAGGATGGAGAAGGCACAGCACTTCTAGGAAACTCCTTGGAATGGCTCTGTCCGCGGGCTCCGAGGGGGCTGACAAGATCGGGTCGATCCCTCCCGCATTCCCGGCTGGGATTATGAGCCAGGGCGAGATTACGGATCTGGAGGGGCTGTGTCTGCGCTGAGATGTCCACTCGGGCTGGAAAGTTTCTCCATGGTTTCTTTATGGTGCCTGAGCTCCTCGCTGCCAGCTTCGATTCCCGCCCCAGTCTTCCTGGGTAAGTGAGGTTAGACTTGCTGCCATTTTGAGCAATAATTTCGCCCACGATCCCGAAAGGTTTTTTCACCCTAGTCTGGTCTGGAGGGGCGGGGGGATGGGAGCGGAGCGGGGGGGGGTGTCAATTTTCACGTGTGTTTTCTCTGTCTTGGAGAAATTCAGGGGCAGCAGTTCAGCACTGAATGGCCCCATTACTTTCCTGGAGGCGACAAAAATAGTCCATCGTGTTGGTGTGGTTATAAAACGGGGGCCGGGGTGGGAAATTTACAAAGGGCTGTTAGCTGGTTGCCAAATGGTCTTTGGTCATGGCTTAGGTGCCCAGCCGGCTTAGAGACCCTTGGAGGATTTTGTACACAGAATTTCTTCATTAGTAGAAGCAACCAAAAGTTCAAAGACCTGGCAGACCACCTGGCGAGCGATACTCAATCAATAGCTACAGACCTATCTCATTAACAGGCAGCTTCATTGTTAGACATACTGCCAGCCAGCCATGTATATACTGGAAACTGCATCGAAACTAAACCCAGTGTAAACTGGCAACTTTGCTAACTCCGTTATGTATAAAGAAATACTGCCAAGCATGTCAGCCACAACATTTTAGTCCCTAGTAAACGTTGCAAAATCTATTGCAGCATGCTAGAAAGTGTCCTAAGTGATGTCGAGCAAATGGTCAATGGTTGCAAATTAACATCCTTTCAAATAATTCATTTCCCTCCGAGCTGAGATTATTCTTCCATTTTCTACACATACAAATAGCTGAAACAACACAAAATCCTGTATTGGTCAAAAACAGACAAGTGAGCATCTTAACCTCAGTTATTAGTGTCCAGGAAACAAAGTGTTAATCCGACCCCCACCATGTACGTTTTAATACCTGTGACTGAGTGAGAATAACAACTCTATTCGGTTTTAGCAGAGCATCCTTAAAATAGTCATTGAGATCCGGGTTAAAACATGACATATCCTCTGGAGATTATTTAAATAGTGCTCACTGTGACATAAGTATCAGTTTGTTAATGATTACATCCCACATCCAGTTTATATGGAATGTGATTGTGTATCGTGTCTTTCGTCTGTTTGACTTTCTCTGTTTTCTAATAATACAATAATTAATAATAGTTGGTGGTTTAAAAAAAACACACTCTCCCACGCATCCACCCTTGTTTCTGCGTATTCAAAAAGGAAGTGTCAAGGCAATATTGATTGCAAACGTTGTTCAGGTCTGATTGCCATCTGTTTTTCCATCTTAACTGAGACAGCATCTTGTCTAGTGGTGTAGTGGAGAGTATCAGATCACAAACTAAGCCACCACTTAAAAAGAAATCATGCTCGGATAATTACACTTGTGTACCAAACCATTCTTACAAAAAAAAAAAAAAAAAGCAAATACATGGTCTGATAATAGGAAAGAGGAGACAAGACTCCATTCATTGTTAAATTACTCCCAGACATATTGTAGGTTCTCTCAAAACAGTGCCCTCAGTATTATTTTATGGGAAAATATATTCAGAACAAATGGAATGCAAAACTGTCGAATCTGGGGCTATTTGGGAATAGAAACGAAATTTAGAAGAAGCTGGGTGGGGGGGGGGGAGGAATCACTTTAGATGCTATTAACCAGCTTTCAAGGCAAGGAATGTAACTTTATGAAGCATGTTGTACTGATTGCTGTCATATTTCCTTCCTGGAAATTATTTTAGACGCTTCACCAAAATGAGAGAAAAGCCCTTCTTCAGCATATCAAAGCTTCACTGAACGGTTTGCAATATCGTGTGAATTGTTCATACTTAGTTGTCTCCCAGCCATTTGAATACTCAGATGATGAATCCTGATGATACCGTAAATAAAGTAAGGAATGTTATTTCACATGCCAGTTTCCCGACGCATTATCTTTTTTCATGGTGATTCACTCTTTAATAAAATTTGACATACTATCTTTATACCCGCTACATTTTAACATGGAGGGGGGAAGGGCAATCATTGCTGTTACATAACCAGTTACTTTGAACATCATACATGTTTCCAAATCAGGCAGCTGTCCAGATGATGTACCCATACCGTAAGCAGAAGAGGATGGGTTTCTAGATCACTGCAGCTAAAATACGAAGGAAATGATCTGGAAGAAGCTTCCAAAAGGTACTATTATCTGGGTATTCAAATGCTTCCCTTCTGTATTTCCAGTAATTAATTTCCCATTCACTGGCACAAAAAGTATGTAATCGGTTAAAATCCCTCAGCAATGTTTAAGCAGTGTAATACAATTAGTGACATCCATAAAACAATTCGTATTGCCCGTCTGGTTTTATTTCCAAAATACCCAGACCACTAAAAGGCACGGGCTTCTGCGTGATACTTCCGCTAACACCAACCCCCTGCACTGTGCAGTGTCACCCTTTGACCCCATTAGAGGAACAGGGCCCAGGAAAGATCTCAGCAGCTTCTTCAACGACAGGAGCAGGCTGCCCTGCAGACTCATTCTCTACCCAGCACGGATGCTCTTCTGTTTGTTTGCACTGGTGGCACGAGTCTTTCCTTAACTCCTTTGGAGTCTGTAGAAGTCAATTCGCTGTTTGCAAAGAGTGAACTGAGCAACGTCATGGGAGGGACACATGGCTGCTTCCCTTCCCAGGTTACCTAACGTTGCTATCCTGGCTATCTGGATGCCTAAGAGGGCCCCGCTTGTCAGTGGCTGAGACGCTGCTTGTCGGGCTTTAGCTAAATACGGATTTCCCTGGCTGTGTTAAAGCACGGGCATTTTGTGAGGTATCTGTTGAGGAGCTGCTCCTCCCGCTCTGTCCCCGGCCTTCACCCTCTTCTCTCCCTTTTGTTGCAGGAGCCGCTCTAGGGAGCAGTGCCCCGGGTAGCCAGCCATGATCGCCACTGGAGGCCTCCTGAGGATCTCGGCCAGGAAACAGGACCCCCTGCGACCCCAAAGCCAGGCCCCCAGACGCAAACGCAAAGCCAAAAAGAAGCGCAAGAACGACGTGGTGGTGGTGAAGGGCAAGCTGAAGCTGTGCTCCGCCTCGGGGCTCCTCGCCCTCTGCGGCATCCTGGTGCTGCTGGTGGGCATCGCCTTGGCCGTGGTGGGCTATTGGCCCAAACCCAGCCCCGTCTACCGGGAGGGCAGCTTCGGGGGGAGCAAACACCTGCCCGCGCAGGGCGGCGCCACCAAAAACCGCTCCAGCAGGGGCCAGCCGGGGGCGCAAGGGGGATCCCCCCCGGACACCCCCAGAGCCAACGCCTCCTCCTCCTCCAGCAGCAGCCGGGGGTCCCCCCGCGCCGCGCCGGCCCCTTCCTCGGTGGGTTTCCTCTTCCAGCTCTTCTCGGGCTACCTGCACTCGGACAAGCTCAAGGTGCTGGGCCCCCTGATCATGGGCATCGGCATCTTCCTCTTCATCTGCGCCAACGCGGTGCTGCACGAGAACCGCGACCGCAAGACCAAGATCATCAACCTGCGGGACCTCTACTCCACCGTCATCGACGCGCACAGCCTGCGGGCCAAGGAGGGCGGGGGCCCGGCCGCCGCCCCGCTCAATGGCTTCGTCAGTTACGTGCAGCAGGCCCGGGGGCTGGGCGGCGGCGGCGGCGGGGGGGAAGCCTTGGGCGCCGCGGCCAGGCTGGCTCAGAGCTCCTGGCCCCCGGCCCTGGGCGCCCCCGCGCCCCGCTGCTCCTCCTTCTCCGCCTCCCCGCCCAGCCTGGCCGAGGCCGTCTACAGCATCTACCGGGAGCGAGCCGCGCTGGGCGCCGCCACCCCGCCCTGCAGCCCCGCGCCCGGCTGGGGCCGGCGCAGCACCGCCGACTCGCTGGTGGGCTCCTCGCTCAGCGCCTTCCCCCTGCTGCCCCTGGGCCAGGCCGAGGGGACGGGCGGGGAGAGCTGCGAGCCCGGGGCCAGGGCGAGCCCGCGGGGCGAGTTCGAGCGGAGCCTGAGCGAGCTCGGCAGCGGCAGCCCCCTAGGGCCCGGGCAGGGGCGCAGGCACCAGCGGGTACTGAGGCGCCAGAGCACAAGCTGCCTGCCTGACGCCAGGCGGCCCCTCTCCCCTGGCCCCCCTCAGACTCGGGCTAGCAGCAGGGAGCTGGACTCCACCAGCCTTTCAGCCAAGGCTGCTTCTTCCACCTACTCCAAATCTCTGGAGCTGGGCGGCTCGCCTCCCGTCACTCCGCCGGAGGTCGGGAGAGGCTCCCAGACTGACCCATCCAGCAGCAATAAGGGCTACACCCACCTGGAGGAGGCAGGCACCTCCTTGGCGTCTGTTGCCAGCACCCCGGCCAATAAAACCCAGGACTGTGAGGAGGACCCAAAAGGGGAGATCGGCCCCCTAGAGGGAGCCGGCAACGAACAAACAGTGCAGCGTCCCCGGCAAATTCAGAGACAATATACAAATAAAGAGAAGCTCTTCATGATTTCCAGGTCGCACGCCACGGCAGGGCTGGAGGATGGGGAACTGGAAAGCACAGGCGTTTGAACAAACAGAGAAAGCATCAGGACAAGCAAGCCCTCTGCCTGCTTGTGGACGGAACCCGGACAATATGCAAAGAGCTGCAATAGGTTATCCTTGAATTGCATTCAATAAATTCCTATAGATGACACCAGGAAACAAAAAATCTTTCTGTCCGATCGTGATTGTATGTTCCATGCAAACCAAATTGTATTAAACATCAATAGTCCAGCAAGTTCTTCGAAGCAAAAGAATACCATTTTGGACAACATAACTGTACACTTCATAGTTTTTATTTCTAACCCCCCTCCCCAACCCTCTTCCTTGGGTACTCTGATGCCGGTTTGTCACTAACTGCTTCAAAACCACCAGCTCCTGTCCTAGCTCCAGCGCAAGGTGGTTTTCCTTCAGCAAACTGAGCTCTCCCCCTTTGTTTTGGTTAAATCACTCAAAGTTTGCAAGGCCTTATGGATGAAGTATCTTCACAAAGAACACTCTTACAGGCATTTGTTTAAATTCTGGAAAGGTGACAAGGGAGGAGAGAGTGGAGCTGGACAAAGCTCTGATAATCTAATTGGAACTGTTACAGTCTTAAATTAGAGACCTAATAAGACACCTGGATACTTTATTAAGTATTATCACACATGTACTAATAGCATTAATAATTTTTTTAAATAAAAATGTTTAATCATTTTAAAACAGTTCTCCCCCTATAGTGCTTACAGATCAAAGAAGACTTTTGTATCAAACTACTAAATATTACAGATTAGGTATAAAGGACAAAGGTTTGTTTATGTTGCTTTTGACATGGTAATAGTAATTTAGTAATTTTTTCAAAACAAAGATATTGGGTTCAATCGCTGAGCACACTGCACTTTAGTACAAGCAGCAGATTCTGCTTCTATTTCTAACCCATTTTTAATTGGCATTTTAGATGGTAAGGAATCAGAGATTTCGAGATTCTAAAGAGAAAAATTGAGTAAGGTTTTACCTTCCATTAAAATTAGATTTTTCAGGAGTAATACATTAATCTCAGAAACAGTGGCCCATACTTTGTAGATCTTCGACTTCCCCAAGAACAGTCAATGTAAGATCAAGTTTTTCTACAATTAAGGCTCCAGTCTTGCAAACACTTATGCACATGCTTACCTTTAAGGATGCAAATAGTCCTATATACTCTGTGGGTGAAATTCTGGCCCCATTGAATTATATGGGAGTTTTGCCATTGACGTCAATGGAGACAGGATTTCACCTTGAGTGAATAAAATAGCATGTTTCCTGATGGTTGGACTATATATATAATATATGAATCAAACAGCTATTTGGTAACTGGGAATTATTTTACTTTAATAATTACAATAAGACTGGCATTTGCTTCATTAACTAGAAAAATCTCTTTCAACTCCCAATTTCAGATACCAACAAAATTTTCTATTTCAAATATATATTTAATATGCATATGACGTTTCATTATGTTAACCACAGAGTTATTGAAGTTAAACATTATGATATGTAAGTAGTGCGTTGGTTTTCTCTCTCAATTAAGGTTTCCATAATAGATTAGTATTTAGTACATATCTAATAATTAAATATAGGTACAATATAATAAATAGACTGATCATTACATTTGATTGTGAAGAGTGAACAGCAACAATAATTACTAAATATAAGAATGAATAATTTTTAAAATATCAGATAAGAGACTGCCATCTTGAGGCTCTACAATTTTCCAAAGAGGAAATGAAGTTCCCTTTTGCAACAGAAAGGCACAAGCATCACAGCCTCATGTACTGTCAATGGCAACCAAGAAAAGTACCCATATGAACTTTGTTTAAGCATTATTTTTGTTAAACTGCTATCTAATGTTGTTTAGCCAGCCAGTGTGGAAGTGACCAAAATATGTTTTAAAACTATGTGCATAGGCTGGAACATGAATTTTATTTACAAAAAGATAAACAAACAAACATGTCTAGGCCCTGCATAGAGTGGGCAGCTTAACAGTGTTAGAAGGCAGTTTAATCAGAATTGATTTCATCATGATTACTTCTGGCTCAACATTTGGCCTAAAAGTTAGAAGGAAACTTCTGTTCTGTGCTTTTCCCATGATTTTCAGCAGACGTCTAATGAAATATCAGGAAAGGGTCATCAGGCACTGAGAGAGGGATGCTAATTATACACAGTTATGGAGATTTGCCTTGATCCTGTCTGGGAAGGTGCCTGTTCAAATCCACATGGGTGCAGAGCAGGAGTCTACCCACCAAATCTCATTGCAGGGTTGGGACCATAGTGGAAAAAATGACAGATTTTTTAAAAAATAAACCTGAAAAAATCATATTATATATACTGTTTCTATTTTCATTCAGTAAAAGTTTATCCAGCCATCTAAGCTATAACAATCACTTTTATTTAAAGATAACACAAGATGCGACCCAAACCTTTTATTTTATTAGAAGGAAAGTACTTTTAAATTGCTGGGCTAGAGTGTGGGGGCTTTTTTCTTTTTGTCGGACTGTGAGAGAGTATTTTATTTCATTGAAATTATTATTAAATTTGTTATCTGTATTTGAGAATCTGTTAAATGTGTCAAAATACAATCAGGAAGCCTTTTTAAATAGCTCGGCTCAATTTCAATGATCATCCTTTTCAATAAGTACTGTTTTAAACTTCTCCTAGGTTGCCGAACATATTGAATAACAGAATGTTTGTATGCAGAACTGAGCTTGATCAATGAAATTCCACTTCAGTGGCTAGTAGAGCTGAGTGAATAATTTGTAGCAATTAATTTAATAAACATATGAAGCCTTTTTTCCAATTTGCAAATTGTCCATGAATCCCTATGATTTTTGCAAATGTATTTGCTAATTACAGGTTTTCACGGGATAATTTATGGAAAGACTTTGCATTCTGTAGAGTTTGTTCAAAACTCAAGCTGAGTGAGTTAGTTATGTATGGAAATGTAGGTCAAAGGTTTAGTGTTTCTGTTTTCTGATTGGATAAGCTTAACTCCTAGCAGCAGGTTTCTTCTGTGAACATTCATACTGGTAATATTAAAGTATCCCTAATGCTGTCAGTTGAGATTGATTGATAGAGAAGGGTAACTTAATCCATTTCAATGGCATCACACCTGGTGACATCACTTTTTGAGCACCACCTCTTTTGGACATTCATCTCTACCTGTTCCTGCCCCATCTGGCACTCGGCTTTTCCCCTTGCCTACTGTACCCACCCCTAACCCTACCACTTCTATCTATCAACCAACCTTCACTTGCCCACTCTTTTCCCCCTCAGTTTCTCTCCTATCTCTTCCCTTTCCCAACCTGTTGTATCAACCAGGCAAGGTACTAACAAGCTTCAACAGGACTTTTTTTTTTTCAAAGTGGAAACCCCTTTACCAAGCTGCTGCTGCACCCTCTGTAGCTTTCTCCCAGCCTCTCAACTCCTCCCCCCTCCTTCCTGTTTCCTGTCCTTTCAGACTCCCAACAGCCAGTGCTCCCAATTCTAATAATTACAAGCAACATTTAAACACCACACAACCCTGTCCTCTCCCATCCCCTCCTATCCTGGGAATTGCGTTCCTCCTTCCAACCTCTTCCCCACAACCTGTGCCCAGCTGGTTCCTCCACAGGCCTTAATGGAGGCTTAGGATCTGAACCCATAACACTGTCTGTATCTCTTGCAAATACACTTTGAATATAACAAACATACATTATCAGGTGTGTGCACTAAGCTAACATATTAAAAGCAAAAGACTTGCGGAGACCAACTATTCTACCAAGGCCCTAAGAAAAATTCCTTGAGAAAAAGGTGGGTTTCTGCCTGAATTCCTCTGGGCAGTTGTATGACTGGCCATAAAATTGCCACTATCCTTTTGTAACACAGATAACTGTACTTGTTTTAAACTAGACAATAAGACATGGGGGGTGGGGGGGGGGGAATGTTTGGGTTTTGAAATGTAAGCAAGGCTACGTAGTGGTTGCAGGCCTACTTCTTTTCATGGGAAGTTCAGATAGCCTTAATATGAGTCCTTTGGGGACGAAGTTGTGTGCAGGAGGGTAGATGGCTTTAGAGGAGAATTTGCATGTTAATACAAATGGACGTCTTAAATACTTTAACAGTTTTGAAGTCCACCATACAGCTCAGCATTTCAGAATACCTCTAATATAAACTAGCTTAAAACAAATCTAGTTAAGTGATTATATATATCATGACAATACATTTTAATCAGTTTTCTTCTAGTTTTCCATCAGACGCATATGTTGTCTGATATTTGGGTAAAATTGTTAATACATCATCTGTTCTGTTGTGAGAGACATAATGCAGGCTTTGTTAAACTATTCTGATGAAATGTTTTGGTTAGGTAGTTGTTTGTGTGGTTTTTTTAAACAATCCTGTCCACAAACTGTAATCCCAAACAGCAAGTCATAGCTTGTGTACAAACATCTGTGCAGCTGGATGTTTATATAAACTATCCCTATTTAGTGTCATGCACTGCTTGTCATAGCAAATGTTTTAAAAACAGGTATGTTTTCAAGGTCAGCATGGAAGCAGCAGCAATGTGGTTTAAACTCAAAACAATGCATTTTAGCCTCAATCGCAAGAATCTTTACATTATAAAAAATGTATTAACAGGGCATAGTTTGTGTGTTCAATAATGATGATCTACACGGTTTGTTAGGATCATGGATCTTAAGGTATGAAAGAGAACTTTTGATAGGAATTTCTATTATTAATTTTAACATTTTTCTTGTTAAACAAGTATATATAAACAGAGGATTTTGTTCATATTGGGGAAATAAATACAAATGAATTTTCTTGATAAGATTACTCATATCTTAAATAGATCTCCAGTTAACACCTTTCATTATTAACTTGACTCAAGCAGTTATTTATTTTAATTTCAAAATGCAAAGCAGAAGAGAACGTATCTCAGGCTTTAGGCGTAACAAAATACAGAACAAAAACAAAAATCGGACCCTGTTATGCACCCATCCACACTGAAACACATAAAAAGTTCTCAGAAGTGTCTGACAGCTAACAAATTCAAAGAAAGACCTGCAAAGAAAGAGAAATGCAAAGAAAGAGAGAAAGAGAAACTGCTCACAAACTTTCTCTCCAGAAACAGCTGAGTTTGTTTCCAGCTTCTTCAAGGTTGTCAAAAGAATATCAAAAGACTACATCTAAACTTTGTAACTTTAAAAAAAACAAACAAACAATGAATCAGAGATGTGAGCAAGGCACAGAGCATTCGCAGACAAAATCTCTGATAGGAGACCTATATTAATCTTCAGCCACAGAAAAAACAGCAGTGGAAAAGTTAACTTCCTATGTACTTTACCAATGTTGAAACCTTCAGCTTAGTAATGTTTAAGTACATTGGAAAAACTCTCACATTCACAGCTGAGTGACAAAAGAGAGGAAACAGATGTGAACCCTTGGGGCAGGGTAGGGACCAGCCCCAGGAGAGGAAACAAGGAGGTGTGGAATGGGGAATAATGTCACTGAAAATTATGTTGATGGAGATTTGTGTGACTTATCCTTTTTATGCATCACTCAGTTTCTTGTTTTATCTATCAGTCTTGCTTTGACAGATGCTAGGGCACTACTCTACTTATACGTACATGTTTCAAATTCAATTTCTGTTAATAGTCTCTTAAAATTCACTATTTCTGCAAAGATTCTGGCCAGTAAACTCATTCAATAGAGTATTCCCAGAAAGCAAACACAAAAGGGGTACAAATATAGCTGACGTGAATTCAATATTTTATTCAAGTAGATCTTAATAGAAAGTATTTGAGGATTTTATATTTATATAAAATTATACATTTATCTATCTTAGGGGTTCCTTTTTATTAGTTTAATTGTGCCCTTCATTAGTTTCTCAGTGCTTCTCAAGTAAATAGGTCTGCATGGCCAGGTGCTTTATAGGCTTCAAGGCCAAGATTTTCAAAATGTGCCTCACATTTTGGGTGCCCACTTAGAGATATTTAAAAGTGGCCAGATATTCAGAGAATGGGCACCCCAAAATAGAGACATGCAAAATCACTAATCACTGTTGAGAATCTAGGCCCATGAACTTTCTGCTCTTTTTCCTGCCTTGGTACTGAGAAGGCTGTCTTAGACATACTTACTTGTGGGGTTTTCTTCTTTTCTCCTCTTCACACTCTCCCCCTCTTCATTCTGGTGAGAATGAATCTCAAATCCAACCAGCCCTTCCTGAACTTTGAGAAAATTTGAGTCCAATTCCAAACTAAACTTTGCAGTTAAAGCTCAATACAGTAAGAAAGAAAGAATATATTAAGATTATTTAGATGATTTTGGTGCATTCAGCCTTTTTATGAAGGTAATACCTATCCTCTGGGCTAAATAAACTCAGATGCTGAAAGGAAAGGAAACTATTAGTCCAGGATGTGGTTAGTAAAAGGAGGAACTATCAAGTTATTTTACTGAAATGTCTAAGTACATAAAAGACAATTAGGTTGAGGGGGGGAATAGTTTTTTTGTTTGTTTTTTTAATGTCAGCTTGAAAAAATAGGAGGTAGCCATGTTTATTGTAGGGGTATGGATAGGGAGTTTGAATGACAGTAGAGAAAACAAAACGGAGGGACTTGCATCCTCTATGCCGATTGAAACCAGTGTTTTCAAACGTTCAGTGGGTTCAATACCTGTACAAAGCCACTGATGGTAGCTGACATTTTGCTGCTACTTCATTAAACTAGACCTCCTGCTGGGAAGAAGATGGAGACACAGGAAATGCAACTCGCCTTTCAAAACCATGGAAAAGGCATAGTCTTTCAAAGCTGATATTAGATAAATTAGCTCTTTTTAAAGGAACACAGTTTAATAGCTTGGCTAAACCATCTTTTAAAAAATTATAATTTACAACAACTTTGGCAGCATCTTCTCTGGGCTGGGCTCCGCAGCTCAGAAGCATGGTAGCAGTGCACCCTACAGGGACTTCCCTCCTGCCCCTAAGATGCTCCTAGTGATACTGGCATGCCACGTTCATCAGGGCTTGTGAAGAGGCCTGTGTAAGGATCCCAGAGACAGACTCCACAGTGCCTGCACCAAGAGAAACCCCCTCTGGCCAACTACAAGGTTTGTGAGGCCCACTTACCACAGTGTGATGCCCTTCAGGAGCTGTAGGAGAGGTGGGGGCCTTATTCTTGAAATGTATTTTAATACTATTAGGGTTGTATAAAGTATAGCATGTCTTCTACTTCAGCAGATTTACACCACCAAGGCATTTTAAAATAAGACACTTTGATCTCAGCTGTTAATATCCAAGATACTTCTATGGCTCTGATTATTGCAGTACTTGAGCACCTCACAGTCTTTAATGTACTTATCCCGGAAACATCCGTGTGAGGTAGGAAAGTGCTGTAAAGTGGGGCACAAAGAGACTAAGAAACAGAGAGAACCATGCCAGAAGGATGCTAAAACCCAGATCCTCAAAAGTATTTAGGTGCCTAACTCCCACTGAAATCACTGGTACAGAATTATCTGGTACACTAAGTGTACCAGAGAATTTGTATATTAGTTTTGGTTTAACTCCAAAGTTTTAATTGCAGGAGAGAGGGATGTACTTTCCTTTGTAGTCTAAACCTGACACAGGTTATTAATTTTCTGTGGTAATAATACTGCAAGCAAAAAACTTATTTGTCAAATGACTAACCCTTGGACACTTTACTAGGACAAAATACTGGTAGCTGTGGCTTGTAGTGAAGAAAAATAGAATGCTTCAAGAAAGCAACAGAATTCTAAAGGCTCATTCAGTGACCTAAATGCTAATCCCTCCTCTGTTTATGTAACCACACAAGTCTCAGACTAGAATGGTTTGGAGAACTAAATCTAACTTCTATGCTTTGGAGCCTTGCACATTTGGTTGCACAATTCTTTACTTTTCTATTGCTAGTTTAATTGAATTTATGCTGGACTCTCCTTTCAAGTAGGCCTTCTTTTAGTAATGTAGGTTTCTAAACAGCCAAGCAAATCATAATCCAAAATCAAAGGCAGCATATTCTAAGGGAATTGGGTCGTGTGGGATGGGAGAGGAGACTGAAAATGAGCCTATTTAGACTGCAGTCTTTTTTTGGGGGGGGGGGTTTGACTAGTTTTGTATTTGATACCTAGATACCCTAGTGATGGGTGCATTTGAAATTCACAAATGCCACTACATAGGTTAAATATTACATTAGCAGCAGTAAAGATAATTTTTAAAGGATCACAAGAACTAATGAATGAAAAGCTCGAAAGAGTGAAAGCTTGAATGAAAATTATGGTGCTCTATCGTGGGCATGCTGGAGAAAGACAGATGGAAACAACTCACGCTACAAGATACCAATTCCCTTTATGACATAATTTTGGAGAGGTGGGGAAAATTAGCCAACCCAAGCTCATATGGTATCATTGCATACATGTTGCCATATGGCCACAGTTCCCAGCATGGCCCCCTGAAGCAATGGCTTGTAGAACACTTCAAAAGGCTGTATAGGAGCCACAGCTCCCACGGTTCTCTAGGAAACTCCCATAAGTTCCCAGTTTACTGCTGTCCATGTATGGACTAAAGCAAGTCCCAGAAAGTTCCAAATAAACTTCCACTTATGGTTAACCCGTTTCACTTCTTACTCCCTAAGCAGAACCCTCAACTATGATACTCTAAAACAATTATTCTAAAACACAGACATGCTAAACAAGTTATACTTTAAATGACCAATTCCAACTCACTTCACCTACATAAATTCTACCAATCTCTTGTTTAGTTCTTCAATTGCAACCTAAAGCAATTTCCGCCAGCTCCAGCATGAACATTTTTCTTCTGCGTCATTACTAAAGCCTCCCAACTGCTGCTCTCCTAAAAGCCAAAGCAAACCATAAATTAACTTTAACAGCATCCCACCGATAGCTCTGCCCTCCCAGAGCCAGAGGGATCTTGCATTGGCATTGAATCCAACGGCATCTCCTCTCGCCCCAACATTGGGAACACCAGTAGCAGTTGAGAGGAGCTAACAGGAGCTATCAAAATCGCAGACACTCGGGGCTCCTTCCTCAAACTAGCTGGCCTCAGCTTCAGCTTCTTTGTGTAGGGGGGAGGGGGAGGAAGAGAGGGTAAGTCAGGGCCTTTCAGCCACCCTTCCTATCGTTGCCGGCACCCAGTGCCGAGAGGCTAAACAACAGCTGGAGTTGGTTCGCTACCCGGTGTGCTACACCCAATAATCACAACGGCGTGGAGAAGCAGAAAAGTTTATTTGCAGCTGCAAAAAGGTACAGGGAGAATAAAATCTCAAATCCTGCACACAGAGCAGGAAGTTACACAGGCTTTTATACATCCTTTTTCCCAGCATACTTATCCAATAGCAAGCTGCCCTAAGTATCCATATAGCCAGCCAATCCAGTTCCCAGCTAGTTCCCTTGTTCTCTGTATCATTTCTTAAACCATACATAAAGCTGCTTTATTCAGCATTGTTCTTCCATATCTGCCCTGTTTGGCCTTGCTTAGTTTCAGGCAGTCTGACTCTGCAGCATATTGTTGCAGATTCTCAGCATAACTGCTGTGTGTGCCTCCAGGCGGGAGGGGGCCAAGCACACTCGGGTCTAGTACCCAGAGCTGCTGCGAGTGCCTCCAGGCGGGAGG